TTTCATAAGATTCAAGGGTTTATTGCATTGATAAAACGAAAGTGATTTACTATGTAAAGGGAACAATGAAATAAATATAAAAAAAAGAAGTTCTTGGAAATAAAAACATGGTTGCCAATACTAAAGATCTCAATAGAGGCAATAAAAAACAGAATGTAATCATTGCTGAAATAAAAATGAGAATACTCAAGAAATTCCTCCAGAACATAGAGCAAAAAAGACCATGATGGAAATTATGAGAGTAAAGAAGAAGACACAGGCATTCTAGGAGATGAGAATGAAATAAGATAGTGGAGAATTATTAATCAAAGAATAGAAGAATATTTCACTGAGCTGAAGAGATTTGAATCCTCAGTGTAAAAGTGTCCACCAAATGCTGTGATGGATCATTGAGAAAGGATCCATACCTAGAAAGTCATCCCGGTAAGTCTGTAAATGCCAAGGATAAAAACAAATCCTATAAGCCTCCAGACATTTATAAAAAGAAAGAAAGAAAAAAATCTTGAAAGAGAGAGAGAATGAGACTGACATTGAACTTTCCATCTATAACACTCAATTGTTCAAGACAGTGGGATTAATATTACAGAGTTCCTGTTTGAGAGTAAAAACAAGATATTTGGACATGTAAAAAGTTAAGAAGTATACCATCCATGTTAATTTTTATGAAAAGATTACCTAAGGAAGTACTTCAGTCACATTAAAAATAAATTCAAAAAAATTTTAAAATTAAGAACAGGGAAGATTTTGTATACAAATAATAGTAATAAGCAATGCAATCAAACTTACAGCAGTTAAAAAAGGATTCTTAAATAAAAGAAGAATAAAATAATTAACATTATGCTATATGTAATAATTTACATATAAATTAATAGCCATCAGGAACTAGAAATCCAGATTATTCTTGGAGGTAGGATAAGGGAACGGGGAAGCAAAGACAAGACTAAGGGTTAAGTCTTATGAGGGCCGAGGGATGCCAAAGTTACAGTTAAAATTCAGGATGCCAAAAGAGAAACCCAAATTTAAAATGTTTGTAAAAAATATAAATTAACAACTTATGAAATAAGATGCAGAACTTCTAAGAGAAAAAGAGGAAAAAGAAATCAAGATTGAGTAGCAAATGTTGGGAAAGCAAAAAGGGTCAAACGTTAGTGATCATAAAATCCTCTTTTTAATGGCAAAGACTCTCCAATTGAGGTATATATATTTTAATCTAACCATACACTATTTACGAGAGACACAATATGACATAAAAAAGACTGAAAACAAGGGTGTGAGATCATAGAAAGTGTATTTTAGTCTGTCCCCAGTTCCTGGTACAGGGCTCCTAAAACCCATGTAATTTCCTGGGTGATAAGAACACCAGGAGCATTTCTTATTCTAATATGGGTCTTGGACCAGAAAGTGTATTTTAGTCTGTCCCCAGTTCCTGGTGCAGGGCTCCTAAAACCCATGTAATTTCCTGGGTGATAAGAACACCAGGAGCATTTCTTATTCTAATATGGGTCTTGGACCCCAGTTCCTGACACAGGGCTCCTGAAACCCTGGTAATTTCCTGGAGGATAGGAGTGTCTTTTGTTCTAATGAGGTGACTCCGGGTGGGCTCCTGGATAGCTCCTGGATGGGGACTGGCCACGGGAAAGACCAAGTCATGATTAGAAGCTTGGAATTTTCAGTCTCTCTGCCCATTCTCTTGTGAAGGGAGAAGGGCTGAAAATGGAGTTAATGATCGATCATGTCTATGTGATGAAGCCTCCCTAAAATCCCAAAAGTATGGGGTTCGGAGAGCTTCCGGGTTGGTGAACACACGGAGGTGCTGGGAGAGTGGTAAGCCTGGACAGGGCACTGAAGCTCTGCACCCCTTCCCACATAGCTCACCCTATATGTCTCTTCCATCTGGATATTCCACTGTATCCTTTATCGTATACTTTAATAAACTGATAAACAGTGTTTCCCTGAGTTCTGTGAGCCGCTTTAGCAAATTATTCGAACCCAAGGAGGGGTCATTGGAATCTCAGATCTATAGCCAGTTGGTCACAAGCACAGGTGACAACCTAGGGTTGCAACTGGTGCTTGAAGTGGAGGGCGCAGTCTTGTGGGACTGAGGCCTTACCCTGTGGGATCTGACGCTGTCTCCGGGTAGACAGTGCCAGAATTGAGTTAAATTGTAGGACACCCAGCTGGTGTTACAGAGAATTGCTTGGTGGGGGAAAAACTTTCACACATTTGGTGACCAGAAGTGTCAGAAGTGAAGTGCTCTCTTCACTTCTTGAAGGTAAAAGAGACACACAGGGAAGAAAGACATAGTAGGGAAGAATGGGGTTTTTCCCTACATAGAAAGGAAAAGACTGAGTTTTTTTCCTTTACAAAGGGGATGAACAAGGATGTTACAGACTAAATTAAATTAAAAAGAGAGCAGAGTTGGCAATATCAATATCAGGCAAGGTAGAATTCAAACAAAAAAACATTAACTTATACTTGTGAGATATTTTATAAAGCTAAATCATATAATATACCAAGAAGACATAACATCTATGAACCTCAATACATTGAGCAACAGAACAAGGTAATATGTAAAAAAAACTGCTTGAAATACAAGAAGAATCAGACAAAACCACAATTATAGTAAAGGTGTGTCCTAAAATTTCACAGATCAAATAGACAAAAAGTAAGGTAACAGTGGATTTGAAAAACATAATTTAAACATAATAATAACAATTAAAAGGTGTGACTATATATGCATAATTTTTTTAAACTTTTATGTAACCAATAGAGAATATACATTTGTTTTCAAATGTCCAAAGGACATTTATAAAAGTTGATCATGCAACAGATCACAAGACTCATCTTAATGAAACTGAAATATCATATAGGCCATATTCTATGACCGTGGTGGTAGGAGGATTAGAAAGTAACAATAAAAAGATAATTAAGCATCCCTGGAAGTTACCTCTCCTAAATATCTCTTGAGCCAAAGAGGAAATCAAAGTTGAAAATAGACTATTTAGAAAATGAGACTGGAATACTAATCCTACGGCCAGCAGCAAAGCTGTGTGCGGGAAGAACTTTAGCTTTAAACGCTTTTATTATGGAAAGAAATCATGAAACCCAGAAATCATGGAAATAGCTGAAACACAAATTTCAACTAAAAAATCAAAAGAACAAGATAAGTAAATTAAATCATAAAAGGACAAATTAATAAGAGTAGAAATTCATGAATAAGAAAACAAAAACAAAGCAAAATCTAGATATTGTTCTCTTAAAAAGGCCAATAAAATAGATCATTTATTCATTCTATAATTATTTATGTTCTGGACACACATTCTAAAAACAAATAAAAAGAACAAACTCACTTAAATATGACTGTTTTGATTAGAAGGAATTTAGGTTGCTTATGACGGCACAAATACAAACACCTATAATTGGGAGAAATCATAGATAAATTAAAATTAAAGCCTATTATAACCCAGATGCCAGAGAATCATGATTCAACCACATTACAAACGTTCTGTGTGAAAGCGCCCACCTCAGGCCTGTGCACTTTCTCTTCCTGCTGTCTGGAACTCCCTTTGCCCAGACACAATCTCAGAGCCAGTGCCAGCCACCTTTTCAAGGAATCCTTGTTTGATCACCCCATTCACACTCTATTCCTCTCATCCTTAGCCTGCTTTATTTCTTTTTCTTTCTACCTTTCTGAACTCTGTGGCAGAGGCTGTTAGTTGTCCACCAGTATCCATTCTTCTTTCTTTTATTATAGAATTTCTAAGCTTTAGTTGACCACATGGCTGCCCAGTTAGAGACCACACTTCCCAGCCTTCCTTGCAGCTACCTATAGCTCTAGGATTAAGTTCTGGCCAATGAGAAGTGAACAGAAGTGAGGCCTGCCACTTCCAGGTCATACTCCTAAAAGGAGGGTCTTACTCCTTCCTCTTGCCCTTTCCCCTTTCCTCTGGCAGAAGCACAGTCATGATGGTGGGAGCGTAAGCAATCACTTTGGGTCCAGAGATGGAAATCATGTAGTGAGGATGGCAGAGCTGCCCTACCAGTCCTGGTCTGCTTGTCTCTGAACTTGTATACGAAACAGAAATAAACTTCAATCTTATTTAAACCACTGTATTTTGGGGTCTCTTTGTTACAAGAGCTTAGACTATACTCTAACTAATATGTTTCATTTTCTTAGTTGTAAAATGAGAATGATACCTAGCATGGCTGTTGTTAAGGAGGAGTATGCAGTAGGAGTTTAAAAAGTGATAGCTATTATTATCCAGACTTGTGCAGCTTTCCTTTAGCCTGGTGTCAAAGTCATGTTCTGAGTAGAATAGTTGAAAGTCACAGTCAAGGTTGGGCACTATAGTACCACCCCTACCCATTGTTCCTACCCCTCTCCCCTCCCAGCTCTGGGGCAGCCATTGGGTAGCTGGCTAATGAAACAGGATGAGAAACCTTTGTGGTGCTCCTGGCAGGAAAGGGGTGGGCACAGATGTTTGTGAAAAGGAATTTAATTTTTTACCATGGCAAATGTTATGCAAATCCTATTCCTTATCTCTTCATGAAACTTTTGGTTTGATATCCAGTTCTTTGTTGTTTTGAGGAGCTAACTCTGTTTTGAGGCTATGTTTAAGTGTTGAGTTCAGCCTTAAGGGCAAGTGTGGAGGAAAGCTTGAGACACTCGATGAAGCAAGACAGGAGCCACCTGGCTAGGAGCTGCTGCACTGTGAAACCCAAGAGCACAGGAGGCCTGTGTGGGCACCCGCCACCATAAAACACTGGAAAAATGCACTGAAAGTTAGAAAATGGTTATTTTTGAGTGCAGATCCATAGTCAAAATTGGAAAGACTCACACTATAGATTCTTAATCAGAGTCACTTGAATTCCCCCCATGCTCCTCACCGAAAATAATTGGCACATCCTATTAACACTAAATTTCAAAATTCATGCATCATCAGGGAATTTTTGGCATAGTTAAGTACCAACTCATTCAATACAAATTTCTCAGCACTTACCCCATTGTATTTTGGGCTTGTTTCTCCATGTCAAGAAACTGCTGCATCTGGTTTATATTTCTTGATTTTTAATCTGTTAGGGGGAAAAATGATCTAGATTCCTTAAATGCTTATGCTTATTAACATATAAAACAAGAAAATTCTGCTACTGGCAAACCATGTGGTATGAGTTTTTCTGAGTGTAGTAGCCTTTGGTTCTAGAAAATGTAGAAATTTGGTCTTTTTTCTTTTTTTTAGTGCCCCCATGCACTTATGACATTGGCTTAGCGATAAGTTGAAATATGTGGTACTGACTGAAATGACCATTCATCCACTGTACTGAACAGCAGCTTGGTGCCAGGTATGTTGCAAAGTGCTCAGTACACGAGATGAGTGAAATAGAATTCCTCTTCAACAGGAGATCCAACTAAATGTTCTCCAACTTGCCTTTCTGTGGATCCCCGAAAAGTTTGCCTTTATTTGAGTACATTCTTTCTTTGGCTCTTTCCCGGTTTTGTTAGAATGAATATACCATGAGATTTAAGACGATAAGGCTAAGAATTGCCTAAAAAGAGAAATCTTACAATTCTTCAACGGGTCTGTGGGCACCTCCTCAGCCTTTTGATAAAATAGGGATGTTAGTACTTGCCCAAAGTAAAAAAAAAAGTTTTTCCCAGCAACAAAGTTTTAATTAAAAAATAATCTATGAGGATAAATGGACAAAGTATTGAAAAGGACTTCCACTCCGCTGAATCACTGAATAAAAGTCAATTAAGTAGTATTTAAGATGGGAGAAACAGAAGGAGAAAGATTTCCGGGCTCATGTCACTTCAAATTAAAGGAATTTAAGACTCTGGGATTGTGTGTGGAGAGGACGGGCGAGGAGTGGGAATGGGGAACGAGAACTTGACCAGAACGGACAGATGAATAAATTGATTTTGTAGGTCCTCAAAATCCTTCACTGTAACGTCAGGGAAACTGAGGCACAGACAAGCTAGCTGACTTGCCCAAGGCAAGATCTAGAACCTAGATCTTCTAATTTAGGAAGACTGTCTGCTCTGGCTTCTGCAAGGACCGTCCTGAGCCCTGGCTCTGTCCACCCGCCGCGCGCCCCGGGCCCCGACCCCGACTCCTTGAGCCCCGCCCCACCCCGCGCACGGTTCAAACCCAGCCAGCTTGGGGTGGGGTCCCCCGCTCCTCTCGGGCAAGCCCGCCCGGCCGAGGGGCGAGGGCGAGGGTCAGGGGCCGAGGCGGGGCCATACAGGCCGGGGCGGGTTACCTGCGCCGCGCCGCGCTCCCCCGAGCGGTCTGGAGCCCCGGGAGCAGGATCGCCGGGGTCACCGCCAGCCCGGCCCGCCCCGAG